GGTGCACACGTGCACTAACCCACAAATATCTCTGAACCCGAATCAAACCCTAAACCCTATAACCCGAACCCTTAACCCTCAACCCGAAAGACCCTGAAATCCGTAAAATACGAAACCCCGACAGGCCGAAAACCTTCAACCCTGAAGCATGCATTCCGCCCCTCTAAACAAACACACCAAACCCCAAACTGAAAACCTCTAAAGACTTTGTTGCATGGAAGCATGGAAGTTAATGCCAGTGTATCCGTAAATCCCGTGTCCTGAAACCCCCTAACCCCAAAAGCCAGAAAATACCAAACCCTAAACCCGATGCCCATAACCCGAAAACCTGAACCTGGAGCCTAGAGCCTTCTGAACCTGAACCTGTAAACCCGAAAACCCCAAACCCCAAACCATAAAGCATAAACCCAAAATACCCCCAAACCCTGCATAAACCCTATAAACCCCAATAGCCTAAGCCTAAATCCTGAAAGTCCTGTGCCCTTGGCTATTTAGAAGCATTGAACCCCACAAAAGAACTAAAGACTGAGTGTCGCGAAAGCATTTACAGCACTTACAGCAATGAGTATCGACGACATTCATAGTTCAATCTATCCATCCATGCATTCATCTATTTCATTCATCCATTTCCATCTAATTATCGTTCATCCATTCATTCATTGATTGATCAGTCATTCAACCACCATCAAGCCATCCGCCTTCGGGAGGCATTCCACATCCTACATGCTCGTACTCGAAAACACGAGTTTGGAGGCCCCGGACACAGCCAACCTGCTCTCACCCGAATATCAGCAGGATTCACGGCGACAAGGCTTCCAAGCACTGGCGGATTCAGGAGCACGGCCAAAATTTCCTCCAAATACTGGCGGGACTGAGGAGCACCAGTACGCAAGCCAGGTATTGGGACTTACGTTGGCTCGCGGGAGAGGGTTGTCAAGTCCAGCACGGATTTACAACGGATCGCGGCCAGCGTTCTCGAATTTACAGTGGATCGCACTTACCGGAGGACGAGGAAGCGGCGGACGAGAAGGTGAAGGAGGAGGACATACCGCATTCACCGAGAGGGTATTCTTTGCAGCAAGCGGTGCAGCGGTTGGAATTTACAATGGACCGCGCTTGTGGGAAGCCTAACATGTTCACCGAAACGGTTGTCAATTCGGGACCATTTCGAGAACGGTCCGAGGCGCATGTGTTGGTTACAACAGATCGCAAACAGCATAAATATTGATGCGATTGGAAGTTACAAGGGATCGTACTGTTCGGAGGAAGCGGTCACGTCGTTACCGCCAAGAGGGTTGCAAAAGCGGATGACGAAGAAGTCGAATTTACAATGGATCGCACTGATCGTGCGAAACATCGAGAATGTTGTGATTTTCATCGGGCCGCAGGCAGCGCGTGTATACAAAAGGATCTCGCCGGCCCCAAACGATGAGCAGCGACTACTAACCCTGCCCTATGCTTAGGATACTTTAGCCTAGGGTAGGCGTGTATGGGGTGTCAGAGCATTAGTTAAAACTCCAACAGTCAGACCAACCGAATATGACCGAATATCATCACTTCATATCATCCCAACCACCTCTGCTGAGAAAGCTTCTGACACGCTTTGCCGCAAAGCATCAATCCTAAACCCTAAACCCGAAACCCCAAAAGCCACACACCCGAAACCCTAAACCCTATTTCTGAATCCCTCCCCCAACTCTAAACCGTGAACCCTAAACCCAAAATCCTCCTGCAGCCCTAAAACACCCCGAATGCCAAAGGCACAACAAGGCCCCACCCCCAAAGCATCAAAACCAACAGCCTAAACCGTAAACCCCAAAGCCCAAACGGGTCTCTGGGTTCAAGGGATGCAGGATTTGGACCATCCGAAATTCCAACACCCTCCTGCGACAAACATGGAAGGTGCGATGGACAGAAAAGAGGTGCTAAGCGACCCTGCTCCCCGAGAGATCGATGGCTGAGGCCTCCAGGCTGACTGCCACCGCCTTGGGCGAGAGCAGCTCAAACACCGCATCCACAAACTGGTGGGTGAGGCGTTCCTGTCTGTCGCTCTGTCTCCAGGAACCTGCGAGCGCTTGCGTGCGATCGTGCGCGCCTGGAGCTGCAGCCGGCGGGCGAAGACCTGAGCTTTCGGGGCTCCAGAGTTCATGACATCATCCACCGCGAAAAGCACGGTCGCGTCTCGAAGGCCCTTTTCACCTTTCTACACGAAGCCGCGATAGCCGGCCCGACTCGCACAGCTTCCTGTTCTTCAAGCAGTCAGCGAAGGCGCTGAAGCGCAGCTCCATCAGACTGGTCCTTGAAGGCGTCCGTGCCGAAAGGAGCGGGCCACCTAGATCCCCCCACACGCCCCAGCTCGATCATCTTCAGGTGCACGATCATGTCGACTGCTTCTCTCAAACCAAGATGAAGGTGGTCCACGTCTTTCCCTTGTGAAGAGCCGCTTCCAGTCACAAGTCGTCCTGAAATAAAGCAGTTGGAGCACTGAACGGCTCTCCGTCCGACAAGTGCTGCCCGGATGCCATGGGTGGAGGTTCAGAAACTTCCGCCTGCTGCAATAGCAGCTGGATGCGGCGATGCAGGATGATGCAGGCTTGCATGTCCGTACACTGAATCTGAAAGCCTTTTGGAGATGCTGCTTACTTGGATGCTGTTGGTTTGGGACACCTTGCATCACACGTCCATCTCGCCACTGGCCTCGTCCATGTCCATCGGACCCCTGTCGAGATCATCCTGGCGACGCGAAATTGCTGCAGCTTCGTACACCACCGTGAAGCGAAGAAATGAAAAGCTTCCAAGCTTCTGTTGGTGGGACCCTGGCAGCCAGGTGCCAGCCTCAGCCACTGAGTCGCCGGGGGACGGGAGCGAGCGGGAGCGGAGCGAGCGGAGCTGGCAAAATGTAAGGACAGGACCCAGGAACTCGAAGAGGCGACTCCAGGCCTTGGCCAAAGCACAGCTCGCTGTTCTTGGGGCGCAAAAACTGAGAGGTCAACTCCTTTACAGAGGCATGCGGCAAGAGATGCTTGCTTGGCATCGTATACCGGTATTCCCAGCTCCACCTCCCTCTCCGCGAAGCTGGAGAAGGGATAAGGGCTCTCGTTCCTCGTTCCAGGTCGCATGCTGAGAACTCCATCAGTGAAGCAAGCCCTTGGCAACGAAGCCAAGGCTCATGAAGGAGTGGCCCAAGTCATCCTCAGATGCCACCATGGAAGGCTTAGCCCGAAAGGCAGCTTTCCACATTATAAGCAAGTTCTACCGAAATTTCGCAAGTTCACACTGGTTCAGCATGGTTCAGCCAATGTATCTGCGAAACCCTAGCGAATATCTTTTCTGCTGGATAGTACAAAGAGTGGCACCAAGCAACGTAGACAAAGATGGTTGCATCCGGATTTCCTGCAGCTCGCAATCGCTCTTCCAGTAAGCGAGCGGTCGTTGCATCCTTGGCGCACTTTGCATACCCGAAGTAGCAGCTGACAGCAAGCGGATGCCGAGAAGCTGGAAGATAGCTTCCTGCATCAGCCGCGCCGAAGTGACCCTGCACCGGCTTATCTGCGAGCATGTCAGCATCCAGGGTCTCAGGGCTGACCCCAAGAAGCCTCAGATAGCATCACGCTTGACCTCCATTATCGGCGCACGCGGCTGAGCATGTTGTCTGGGGCTCACTGCAGCCAAGCAACGCCCCATTGCTGAGGAAAGTCACTGCACAGCAGATGTCAGATGATGACGCCAAACCAGCGAAGGTTATAGCACCACCCATGCAGAATCCTACCTCGCATCTGCTCCAGTTCTCCAAGGACCATTCACGAGCTGCAACTTCTGAATGCGAGCCGAAGTGCTATGCCAACTTTGGGAGACCTCTCGGATTTCAGGTATGCTGCAGCTTCGCCTCATATCACAAGCGATCGGGTATGCATATCTGCGAAAGTGTGTCTTTCACAACACCGGTTTCAGCTTAGATGCTGATTTCATTTACAGCACCTTCCAGGCTCACATTCTCCGCGAGGGCATTGGCATCCAAGTCTTTGTCGCCAACTCGACCCTGGACAGAACATTCTGGCATCACGGCTCATGCTTGCGAGCCTAAGAGCACTTCGAGGCTCAAGGATCCTTGTGGAAGTCGACGATGAGCACACGGAAGCCTCCTTCTTCTGCAATCCGCGAAGCCTGACTTGGCTGACCCTTGCTCTTGGGTTGGGCCCAGCCCCAGTTCACATGTCGCGGCCTGCTTCCTGACGTCCTCGGTGACCCCAATCAGCTCCTGTGGACTCACATGGACTCACCTCGTGAGTCACTACCTCCTCTTATGGCCGAGGCTCTGGGACCACGATGACGGCCGGATGCCCCAGCGGCCCTCCAACAAAGGCCACCGAGTCCTCAAAACCCCACAAGGCAAAGGCCAAGTCTCCCGCCCTGCAACCGCATGGCAATCGCTCTCACGCTTTGCATCAAAGTTCCTTTCCGAGCTTCACCTCACGAGGTGTGGCGACGACAGGACCGATCCCCATCATCGACGCTCGAGAACTACCAACTCTGAGTGGCCCAGTTGCTTTGTCGAAAGAGAAGCAGTGACATCGCGAGAGAATGTGCCCCAGGACGACCACGATTGGCAAGCCGAGCATCATCAGAGAGTGGCTGTACACAAAGTGTCCATGACTGTTCGTAAAACGCGAACTCCGCAAATAATCAAGCGAAAGTGCGGGCTTCCCTCAACTTTCTCTGTGCTTCGGTGCATCTAATCTACTTGCCGTCCTTGTTGCTCGGAACTTGAGCCTTCGGCTGTGGACGATACTGTCACACGGACGACATGCATAAAGCCTCAGCACACAGATTCACTTCCCGGGGCATCTTTGCAAATCTGCCATCAAGCGCATGATCTCTCCCAAAAGAACACGGCTGAGTCTCACACCTGCAGCAGTCTGGCAAACTTCGAAAGGCCGAGGACCCTTCACGTTGTTCAAGCTCGCTTCAAATCATGTTGACAATTTTCCACTGCAGCATGTTGCAGCGCCTTCCGTCTGGGAAGTAGGCAATATGCGCAGTCCCAGAGAACGGAAGGAGGTGATGTTCACAGAGAGAGTGAAAAGGAATGTCCTCACGGCTTGCCAGCGATTCTTGCAGAAGCATGCAGGAACGGCAACTGTTCGAAGCACACAATGAACTGCAGCTGGCTGTCTCGCACGGCCACCAGATCGTGAGCACCCTCCACCTGCGACTCTGATTCTGCAAGTGTTCCGATGGTGCTGGAACAGAGTTCTTGAGCTGCAAGCCTCGAAAACTGCGTCACCGACTGCCTCGAGTGGATCCTTCGAAGGTGAGCGCGACTGAAGCAGAACTTTCAGAAAGCACTCCCCAGAGATGCGTCCTTGATGCTACTGCCAGCAGTCATTTCCATGAACGCCTTTGCAGCACCTGGCTTCTTATTACTATACAAGTAGTCCCAACATGTCTGGTTTGCCCCAGGGCCATGGCGATATGGAGTCTTGTACAACTCTGGCCGCGAAGACTCCTCATCAAGTATGGCATTTCATCATGGTACAGCAAGAACTCCAGATATCTCGCAGTGCGTCTCTCGTCTCTCCTCTGGGCCCAAAGTCGAGAGCAATTGCCGAAACGCTTCCTGTGCCCGGATGGTTTTTTGCAGAACTTTCACCTCCAGCCGCAAGCGCCTCTGCCAAAGGATGTGCACTGCCAGCAGGTCGTTGGAAGTTCTTTGACCTGCATGAGAACTCAGGCGTAGGAGGCAGGAACCGGACGAGTCGCCGAGTCGCAGGCAGCTTTAGGGGACGACGATTCGGCGATGGAACGAACTGTACCTAAAAAAGGAGGCAACAACGAGAGACGACTTCTTTTGAAGCGGCCGCTTCGCTTGAAGTGGTGTCGGCCTCGGAGCTTGCGGAGCTTGCGGAGGACGCCCTCGGCCTCGGCAAGCGAAAACTCCTCTACACCCGGCCCCCTCCGGCCTCGTCGGCTGGGCCCCAGGCAGCTCCCGCAGGACCTTCCAAATTCTCTCGTCGGAGACTCTTCCGCTGCCATCCGCTGCCCCCGCGCCTCATCGACGGGATCGTCCATGCTGCTCACCGGGACCATGCCTTGGCAAGCTCGCAATCCCGTGGCCTTTGACCACGAAAGAAGGCACCGAAACATCTGAGGCAGATCACATGGTCTGGGCACATGCCTCTTGAGGCTGACCTGGGTCATAGATCTGACAACAGCTGGAGCGTCCAACAACTCCATCACAAGGCATGTCTTGAATTCGGAAGAAGTGACAGGAACGGCCAGGCGCTCTGGGCGTAATGATGTCATATGGGCTGCCTGCGATCGCCATCACATCGATGATCCAGGAAGAGCAGCTACATGCGAGGAAAAGCGCGATGAGAGCGAGCACTGCAATGAGGCCCCTGCTCCCTGGCCGGGACGCTCAGAAACCTGAACCTGGAGGGGCATGTGGACTCTCTCTCGCTCTCTCTCTTGACACTTCTCGAAGCTACTTGCCTCCAGCCATTCGCACCCACGCTTCTGCAAAAAGCCGCCAATCCGTGAGATGACCTGGCAAGCTGTTGCACATCCGCGTACGACTTCGCAACGGTGCCCTTTAACCAGCAGGCCTCTGACGCAATGTATTCCGCTAGCTCCTAGCACTCGAAGCCGACGTCCAGGACGTGCGTAACCAGCATCACAAAAGTAGAAAACATAAGCCAATTCTATTGAGCCTGGCGGCGTTACATAAATCTGATCTGTGCAGCAGAACCACATCCTCACCTAGTTTGAGCCTTGCAACCTACATGAATCTGCGCAGGAAAACGTCCTCTGCAGTAGTGTGCACAATTGGGAGCAGAATGCAGTCCTCCAAAGATCTTTGCTCTTGCAAACTGAAGTAACATGCACGGCAAAGGAAATTTACACATCAGAAGAAACAGCTAATTAGCTAATTCAGAGAAGCTAGGCCTTGCTGCCTGAACCCTGTCAGACCGTCCTGCCGAGGCAGCACCATTCTGACGCCACCCTGGCACTGTATCTCCAGCTTGTCTGAACTAGAGTCCTTGGAGGGGAGACAAGGAGAGGACCAAGCACACCAAGCTGCAAGAACCCTCATCGTGCCTCACAAAAGCAAAGTACGTCGCTCTTCGCCGGAAGAAGAGTCCGCTGGTCCATCTCCTTGCAAATGCCTCGGATGACCTTCCAGAACTTCGAGCTGCTGAAGGCAACTGATGCAGTGGACCGAGCCCGCACCATTTGCACCCACAGCATCATCGGCCTTTTTCAGGTCGCCGAAGTCGACCACGTAGCCATCTGCCTGTCGTACTGAGCACTGGCAAGTACATACCCTGTTGAAAGCAGGACGCATGAAGTTCGATCACCAGCTAGCATGCAGATGATGCCTGAGGCCGCTTGGAGCCAATTCGTGCACCTACTGTGTAGTTGTGACCTGCGCACCGTCACAAATTCAATGCCGATGCTGCGCATGGCGTTCGGGTCCCTGAGGCTTGTACCATGCAAAGGTTCTCGGAAACCCTCAAAGGCGACAAAATGCGCGGCAGAGAACTTCATGTCTTGCAGGGCCACTGCTACCTGTCACGTCAACTCGGCACAAAGTGAATTGTAATATCTAATGCAGTATCAAGCAGTTCTATGAGCAAGCAAGTCTTGTATCACCAAGGCCACACCTGCCAGGACGTGTCACTGTGTGGTGACGACCTCCACCAAACCCGCAAGCACGGACATGCACGTTTGGGACGGCTTCACATGGCTTCAGGCAGGTCCGGAGAGAAGTCTAGGGCCCGTGGGTGAAGAGTTGGGCGTCTCTGAGACTCTCAGCACATGTTTTTGTGGCGCAGGCCTGGGAAAGGCGTCATGGCCATCCATCGGCCAGGACCCGGCCCGGCACCTTGGGGCAGCCCCAAATGCTTGCAGTCGCACACAATCCCCGGGGTCCAAACAGTCAAGATCTGTCAAGTGTGCTAAGAGGGAAAAAACAAAATTGCCACATGGGCCTCGATCCCAGTGCTGAGGAGTTGCAAAAAGGAACATGTCAACAAAACAGGCGGCATCTTTGGGGAGAGACACGCTTCTTTGTGCAGCACCCTCTTTTCCTCTGCAGGGCACGTTGGCCTCCAGGACTCCAGGACTCTGCGGAGCTCTCTCAGGCCGAGTTCTCTTCCTGCACCCGCCTCACAGCGGCAGACCCCAAGACCCCAAGAGGTTTAGACAATGTTCTAGCCTAGAGCAAGGCGATACAGCCGATGGGGTTCTTTTGGGGATGGGATTCGCCCATATTTCCGTGCCTGACTGAGTCTAGCACTAGCAAGTAGCATCGTCTCGCACACTTCAGGCTCCGTCCAGTCTCCTCTCGTCCTCGGGCGACAGAGATCCCGTCGGCAGTCCGTCCCAGAGCACGGAGTTGGCCTTGACTTGCTTGTGGCATCTGCTGTGGATCTGCCTCATGTACCGAATGTCAGGGTACGAGGCACTTCCGCCTTGCCGCACCTTCGTGAGCCCTGTCGGGAACTTCTCTTAAGCTCTGGTACCAGTGGCCACTCCAAAATACTGGGTGAGACCAACGTGGTTCCAAGCAGCAGCACGCTTTTGCAGAGTAGTCCTGAATGGACATCCGCAACTCCCGCTCCTGCTGAACACCAACACGACAGATCGGCATCATGAACTCAGACTCTTTCGAAGGACACTCCAAATCCTCTACACCATTCTGGCACAGCTCCATCAACCGTAGCAGGAGGTCAGCAGGATCGAAGTTCTTAGTGTTGTGTATGGACAGGAACAGGACGGGCATACCATCTGGATACCATTTCGGATCGAAATACAGCTTTTTATCCAGACTCCGTCTCAGAAGAAACAGGTTTGGCTCCAAATCAAACTTGCACCAGGAGTTGTTCACCTTGTGCCGCCACAGATTGACGTTCATCATATCTTCGTCTTCCCACATGGCATTGCTCATCTCGACATGCCTCTTGACCTTCGCTTTTTCGCCCTTTCGAACAAGATCCAGAACACTAATGCCAGTCTCTTGAACCTGCTCCAAGTCAAAGACCAGGGTGGAAGTTTTTCTGCCCGTAGCAGCAAGCATCCGCTCATGCATCAGATCTCCGAACCATGGTATGGCAAACGAAGTCCAAGTTGGATGTGCATGGCACCAGCGCATGCTCTGAGGGCCATCCCATCCTCTGAATGCATAATGTGCATAAGGATTTCCTGGTGTATCATCTCTCGACATCCAATGCACGGGGAGAATTGGCCAAGGATAGAATTCTGTGATCTCTCGGCGGGTGCCCTCAAAGACCTGATCCATGCCTTTGAAGATGAGCTGATCTGTGTCCAACTGAATCCCTACTATCACCCGAGATGCAAGTATTGATCGAACCTTATTGAAGTTGAAGGAAACTCCGCGCGAGATGGGTCTCATACGGTACGCGATGACGTTTCGCATAGACTGCCACGAGGAAGGGGGCACGAATTGATCCCCAAAGATCACAATGATCAATGGGCGAGTCGAGAACAAATCAATTGATCGAATTAAGTTCGTGGCCTGCCACTCGTAGTTGCTGTCTTTCGGCCCTCCCACATACGTCACATAAGCTTCTTCTATCCAGGGAGATGCCGAACTTGTCCAGCGCAGGAACTGTGATACGAAGTCACACTCCAGCCACACCTCCACCTCGGGCACCAGATGAGGATCCTCACAGATTTTCGCCATGCCGCGTTCCAACAGGTCTTCGGCATCACTGTGTGAGTGGCCCTTTCGAGGCTTTAAAGATCGCCTGTGATCGCATGACCAAATCAGTTCGTTCGGCTCTGCCTTCGAGCAAAGCTTGCTGCGGGGCACCAGGCTCGAGGGAGTTCTGGGCATCCTCGGCAAGCACCCAGCCCTGCAAGTTTGCCCAGGGACTGGACAGTTTTCCTCCCGAAATGGCTGTCCGTTGGGACACTTCGGGAGCGGTGCTCGACACTGACAGTACTTCAGCTTGCCAGGAGAGAAATCCTGCTCTGGTTTCAAGCCATACTGACTATGATGGCAGAGAATGGGAGACTTGAACTCTTTCTTTTCAACCCACTGGTTGAGATCAAAATCACCGTATCGAGTTAGGCCGTCACAATGGCAAATCTCACCCTCTTGAACACAGAACTTCCAGCCATCAGGCCGAAGCTTGTTGACTTGGCGTGTGATGCTCAGGGCATCCCGGCCCTCTGACAAGGTTGCACGCAAAGCCTTCAGAGCGTCCAACTCCTGGTGTGTTGCCACACCGCTAATCCAGGCGACCAGATCCTGTCTTTCTGCCACCAAACGCGGCTGCACCAACTCGTCTCCACCTTGCTCAGCCTCATTGGGAGTTGCTGTCAAACGAGTTGAATCCTCTCCTTCTTTGGACTCGCTCTTGGACACTGCTGCGTAGCTCAGCGTGGTCGCCGTTTCCACAGGTGCAGCTGTGCTAGCTCTTGGAATTTCCTGCTCTGCTGGAGATGGGTTCAAATGCTGTAGTGTGAACAGAATCACCACAACGATGGCCACCCCTTGCAGGTAAGTACACCAACTGAGTTTCTTCGTGCGCATGCCGCGAACCTACCATCGCCGCGGAAGCTTCGACATGTTCGTGCTTGCATCTGTGTTTCAGGCAATCCATGGTTCGTTTACACCTGAGCCAAAGCTGGTAGCCAGGATAGACCCCTCAAGGCGATAAACTACAATAGCTGCTAGCTCAGCAAGCGCAAAGCGGCCATGTCACAAGGCATGCAGCAAGTGCCGATCAGTGCCTATCCGCGTCGTGCACCTTGACAGCACATCCTGGCAGCGTGTGGCTGTCTGAACAGAAACCAGAGCACACGACTGGCAAATTCAAGCAGCATCTTCCGCACTGCTACAATAACTTAAGGTGTCGTTCTTGCTTCAACCGCGCCACAGTCATGCGAACATCTCTAGCTCCACTGTGATTGAAACTAGATTTCGCAAAACTGATGAAAGCTTGCGGACAACACCAATGATGAACAACATGCATGTCAGTCAGCAGCGAATTGGTGATCGAACTTGTCCCACAAGCTTCCACAGTACACATTTCTGATTCATGCCAAAACTCAGGCGTTCTCGCGGCCAATCAGTCGCCACAGCGGACCACGGCTGGACAACCAGCGCACATTCGTTCCATCTGGGATGAGGCGACCCTGCGCCTTCCAGCTGTGGTACTCCTTCTTGGTGAAGCGAGTGAAGCCGAACTTGTTGGAGATGTGCACTTTCTGGCGACCGGCAAACTTGAATTTGGCACGGCGCAAAGCTTCGACCGCAATGTTGATCTTCTCATCCTTGGTGCGCACGGAGATCAGGACCTGGCCGATATCCACTCTGGCAGCCGTGCCGTACGGCTTGCCGAAAGCCCCGCGCATCCCGCTTGACAAGCGATCCGCACCAGCACAGGACAAAGTCTTGTTGATGCGCAGGACATTGAAGGGGTGAGGTCGTATGCGGATGTGAAAGAAGTCTCTGCCCGCATTAGTGATCATGTATTTGTTCACTGCAATGCGCGCAGCCTCCAGCGCCTCACTGGTCAGCTGCTGATCTTCATCGCAAACCAAATGGGCCGTGGTAGGGTACTCATCACATGGCATCTTCTTCTTTCCGACATCGAAAATTCGGATCTTCGGATCAGGTACACCACGGCAATACCGGGTCTTCGGGTACGGCTTGTTCTTGTTGTATCGGTAGCACTTCGCCGGTCCTGGCCGCTCACGAGTTCAGCTCTCTCTTTGACCGCGCTGTTTAGCTAAGATCTTCAACTGCTTATTCCACAACTGCAGTAGTCAACTCTTGCCAAGGCCGACGGCTCATGCTAACCTCAAACATCCTGCAAGCATAGCCACTGAGAATCCGACGGCGTCCCATGGTGAATCTTGAAGAGGCCCGTAAGGAACTTCTACGGAGCTACTATGGACTGCAGGACAACCCCTTCACAGCCGAAACACCGGTCGCAGAAGGCGGTGGCTTCACAGCATCCGAAGCAATCAGAACCAAGGCAAAATATGGCGAAGAACCCCTACTAGTACCAGCCTCGCAGTTGCCCGAGTCCGCCAGACAAGGCAAACCCTGGCAAGTCACGGACAGTCGCATGTAACACAGCCTAAACATGTGCCCACTGCATGCATTGAGAACATGCATCGCAAAGTCGACTAGCAGCCTGCAAGCGAAACGGTTGCAAGCAGTATCCGCAATGTATAGGCTTCACGGAGCAACGCATGCCTCGCGTAGTCAGGCGACGCCCTCAAAGCGTTCCTTTCTCTCGGCTTCAGCCTTGGCAAGGTCCTGCGGTCAGAGCACGTCACACAGAACCAACGTGCAATGAGGGCTCCTCTGAAAAAGCAATCTTGACTCGCTTGGTTCCAAGCTGTCAGATCTGGAGAAGCACCGTCCTCCATCAACTTGTCGTAGGCTCGCAGCGGGTCACACCCGAATCCGAAGCCTCCCAGCACCCAAAAACCTTACAAGTCTCTGCTGTGCAGCTCCCCTGGCTTCAAAATGCCAAACGGTCCATTTCGCCCGGGGCATGAGCATCTTTGGCTCGCAAACAGTGGCGTTCATTTCATGACACGTGGGCACAGCAGTGGAGTTCACTGCCAAGCAACGCCACAAAGAATTTGATGCAGCGAAGCTATGTACTCACGCCCTCAACTCTTCATCGGGAATGCTTATCCGGATGGTGGCCTGCTGCGTGCGTTCAGTGGAATGTCGCAGTCGATGAAGCTCGCTACATTTTGGTGAATCCAAGCGGCGGCGATGGGACGGTGATCGCTCGTCCTGAAAGCCAGGAATAAGCCAAGCTCTTGACTCCCAAGCGCAGGCAGAGTAGAGCCTCGCTCCGTGGCGGAGGCCAGATTGCAAACAGTCCTTCTGAGATCGCCGTAAGAGTCGTACTCCACGACTTCCACCTGAACTCTGGTTTAAATCTTCCCAACAGAGAGCCTGTCTGCAACGGAACCTCATGCTGCACGATGCTCGGGTTCAAGACCCTCTTTGCGACGTCAGCGGCCTGAATGTCCGGATTCAATGTCGACAATCACCAAGATCCGTTACTGCGAGCGGCTCAACAACAACAAGCAGAAGAAAAACATCTTCTCCAAACACATACAAGCAGCCGAGGGCTCGAATCGATAGATCACACGATCACACCATGCTGGTGTACGAGCAGGGCTCAAATCACCTCCTCCAACCACATACCTTGCTTAGAGACAGAACCACACTCAATGACGAGATCAACCACTTGCTGGCCCAGCAACTTGTAAGTGGGCGGAAAGGTCACTTCTGCCTCGCGTAGTCAAGACATGTCACACTGCATCGGTAAGAAGTTGGAGCTTGGCAGTGATAGGCTACAGCGAAGAAGGAACACGACGACAACACAGAAACCCCTTACACCAATTTGTCTGATCCTGTCCAGACTCCCTGCCTCGCGGAAGCCCAGGGACCCTTCGGGAAACGCATGTGATGTTGCAGAATGAACTTCCGTCATTGCACTCAGCCAAGGCAGCCAAAGCGGCTGGCACACCTGATTCTGCCAGTCAGCAGCTCATCGTACAACCTTAATTAATGTCACGGCCTCTCTATGCACTGCCTCATCCCATTCAAAGTCTTCAGAACTAAGCAGCAGCCATGCTTCGGGTGGTCCTGAGGGCAAAATATTCAAAATGGAAAAGGGGTGTCGGCGGTGCCGGTGTCATGGCTGGTCCTTTAGGGAATCCATCGTCTGGCAGGTCCGCGAGCCGGGAGTTCAGGTCACCGAAAACGACCGTCAAATCGTGCTCCAGAGCCGTGTAAAGAGAAGCTCGGTGAAAGCCATTCTTTGCCGGTCTCGTGGAACCGTTTCGGGACGTCCCCTGAAATGCATAGGACAGCACCTGCAGGGACACCGCACATCACGGCACAGACACCCAGTCGACATCGCCCGTGCTCACCAAGCAAGCAAGGCCTCGTTGAGATGATCGTTCCGCTCGTCAGCTTTGCCAGTCCCCGATGGCAGATGAACGTTGGCGAAACAAAGAGACATTGATCCCAACATGAATCTGACACACAGGCCACCCTTGTTTCCACTCAACCCTTCAATGCCGGTCTTCACGCGATCGCAATCGATTGCGGCAACGTGGTCCTGCAGACTGTCCAGAGCATAAGCCAAAAGGGACAAGCCCACCATGCCGAAGCCTTAGTTCAATGTCTCCACAGGTCGCTCTCTCTTTCTTGCTCTCTGTTGGGCGAAGGGGTCGGGTAGCTTGCTTGCCTGCTTGCAGGCCATTTGGGAAATAGGGCGTGCACCCCTCACCCGAGCGAGCGCTACGCCAAAAGTCCGAGGCCTGCCTGTTGTAAGATTAACATGTCGGGGCTCCGACACATGTTTGGTCAGTCCTCGAAGATTCGTACCCCCGATTTGTAACCCCCCCTCGCAATGCTTAGTACAACTCGAAAGTCTCGGTGCTAGGTGAACTCACCTCTTCCTTTCACGAGGGTAAGAGGAAATGCAGCGACCCTCCCCTCCGCTCCTCATCTTCCACGCAGCCAAAGAGAAGGCAATGCCCCCTCCCGCGCGCGAGCGCGCCCTGGTTTCCGTTATCCAAGTGTGAAAGCCCTGAAAGATCAGGACGACCGTTTCACAACACTTGAACCCCCCTGAAGTAACACTAAGTATGCCACCCCGCGGCCTCTCTCTCTCTCTCTCTCGACCACACACGAACTGTGCTCCCCCAGGCGGAGTATTAGTAACCGGCTTAAGAAGTGCAGGCTTGAATATACAAACTCCCCCTGGGTCCACATCAAAACGGCAAAGAGGATCCATGTTGGCTCATGTTGGCTGCAGAGTGTCGCTAAATTCGCAACAGTGTACACACGGGCTCCGCACCCTTTGTAGCGAAGGACTCACATCCTTTCCGCCAGGTGTGCAGCCAACATACGGCGTCGGCGGTGGCTTTGCCGACTGTGCGAATCCTCGTTGGCGTCTGTGGGTGCAAAGGCCAAAGCGTCAGTCTCCCCCACAAGGAATCTCGTCGGGTGAACTGTGGTCCCCCTCGACTGGCACTTGACTCCACATGTGCCATGGCATTGTGGTGGCGAGCGACTCTGACTCCCCTTCGTCTGGAGTTGGCTGCGGCGGTCGAACTGCTGGTGTTGGGATCGTTGGCGGAAGGTCGGCCGGCTCTCCCCCAGCATCGAGTTGTGTCTGGGCTGCCTCTCTCTCTTTCTTTCATCAGGGCT